GTTCTAACAGTGACTCCGCCCACTCTGTGCTACTGCCCACCCCCCCACACACACACTGAACTGCCCCCCACAGACTGCCTGGTTCTAACAGTGACTCCGCCCACTCTGTGCTACTGCCCACCCCCCACAGACACACACTGAACTGCCCCCCACAGGCTCTTTCTTCCCTAGGAGCCTCCTTTGGGGCAAGGTTCAGAGTCTGTATGTGAACAGAGTTAAAGACACGTAACCGGTACTGCTGTGGAGACGGGGAGAAGGATGAACAAGAGTAAAATAGAGTCTATAGCACAGGACCCCGTGTGGCGCTGTGGGATCAGCGCTGGATTGTGCACCACAAGGTCAGCACTTCGAACCCACCAGCTGCTCCTTGGAAACCCTAGACAGGATCGCTATGAGTTGGAACCGACTTGATGGCACTTAACAACAACAACAAATATAATATAAGGAGTCCTGGTGTGGCACTGCAGGATAATGAACTGGGGACTACAAGGTCAGCGGTTCAAACTCACCAACCACTCCTCGGAAACCCTAGACTGCATCACTATGAGTAGGAACTGACTTGATGAAACTTAACAACATGGACAACTCCTGTGTCCTTAACAACGGGTTTCAAACAGGTCCTGTCAGGGCCCATAGAGCCAACCAGACACAGATGCTCAGTCACGGTACCCACACGGGAAACACGACAGGTGGAAGAACGAGGGAATGAGAGCTACAGCGTTGCTATAGAATGCTGAAAAGAGCATGGACGCCCTGGAGGAGACACGGCCAGAACGGCTCTGAGAAGAAAGGATGGCATGGTGGAGGCTGTGAGGACATGCTGGCTGCCATCTTCCAGCGTGGCACCGCCATGTTGGAAGTCCTGCTTTGCTGTTGTTGTTGTTGTTAGGTGCCATCGAGTTGGTACCAACTCATAGCGACCTTATTCACAGCAGAACAAAACGCTGCCCAGTCTTGGGCCAACCTCATTACTGTTGCCATCGATGCTGCCACTTGGCCAATCCATCTCGTTGGGGGTCTTCCTCTTTTTTTCTGACCCTCCACCTTACCAAATATGACATCATTCTCCAGAGACTGGTCCCTCCTGACAATATGTCTAAAGGATGAGAGACGAAGTTTGGCCATCTTGGCCTCCAAGGAGCACTCTGGCTGCACTTCTTCCAAAACGGATCTTTTGGCAGTCCATGGCACTTTCAATATTCTCCTCCAACACCATAACTCAAAGGCATCAATTCTTCTACGGTCTCCCTTATTCACTGTCCAGCTTTCACATCCATATGAGGTTATTGAAAATGCCATGGCTTAGGTCAGGCACACCTTAGTCCTCAAGCTGACATCTTTGCTCTTCAACACTTTTAAAAGGTCTTGTACAACAGATTTATCTAATGCAATATGTCGTCTGATCTCTTGACTGCTGCCCTTAGAAACCTTCATTCAATATTGCCACCCGAGGCTTGATTTTTTTCTTAAATTCTTTCAGCTTGAATGAATATTATCCTGTAACTGACAAATTTGTACTTCAAGATATAT